ACAATTTCATGTTCTGCATTCTACAATAATCAGATTTTGATACATCAACTGCAATTCCTATTTTGTTGAATTCCTCTTCAATTTGTTGAATCACGATATCCCTATTCGGATTATTTTCAAGTTGAATATTATTATATCTCAAATCAACAAATTCTAACAATGTGAATTCTTTTCTCTGTAATTGGATTTGCTCTGCAATAAATAGAGCATCATTTTCTGTTATTGAACCTGATAATGATAAATCCAATACTCTAACTCTTTTTGCAATATTTGATTTCATAATAAGTGGTAAGAGTTGTGGAATATTATAAGTATTTCTCAGACCAAAATATTCTAATGTTGGATACTTTCCATTATCTGATTCTGAAAGCAGTTCTGTTAAATTTTTTTCTGTAATATCATTATTGTAATGTGACAGGTCGATCATTTTACTTCTTATTTGACAGGGTGACCCTAACCATAATTCTAAATGTTTCAATTGTGGGAATGAGCAGTTAAGAATTGATTGTAACATGGAATTTTCCATTACTCCTGTTCTTATAATTAATACTTTCAAGTTGTTCAATTTAACTGGCTCTTGAAAATCACAATATCCAGCTAGATAGAGAAATTTAAGATTTTTGAAATATTTTAGTATTGAAATAGAAGTATAACAGGAATTTCGTACATAATCATTGGTTGACTTGGTATTTTCTACATAAAATTTTTTCAAACTTGAAAGAAGAAGAAGAAACTAACCTCGTATGGAAATAATATTATTCAACTCAATTGGTTCGTAAGCTTCCTGTTGTTCTATTATATAATTATTAAACGATTCATGAAAGTAATTAGAACTTGGATAGCTCAACGATAATTCTTCAAAAGTTTTCAATTTTTCAATAATGTCCTGTGTTTCCTTGACCAGTTCAACTGCTGGTCTCATTTTTCCATCTCCTATTTGTGCACTTTTCAATTCATTTTTAAAGAATTTTAAAATATCCAATCTGTCTTTGATAATCTTTTTGATAATATTCAACAGTAGTTGTTTTTCATTCTTAATACTAGTGCTGCGTTGAGTCATTTTCTAAATTGATTCTTGCCACTTTTTTCTAATACATTCCAATTTTTCATCTGTCATTCTCCCAGATTGCAAAAGCATTCTCTCACAATTACTGGATAACTCATTATTTGCTGAACTGAAAGATACACAATTAAATAGTACTGGTAGTTGCACTGATGATAATGCAATTCTCTTATTAATAAATAACTCGTTATACATATTAATAAAAAGAAATCTATTATTTGCAATCTTTCCATAATATTCCTTATTCAATAATAAACAACTTGTAATTGTTTTGTAATCCAAATATTGAAAAACAATATAACAAATAATATCGGAGGAGAGATTTTTGAATGAACTGTTTGTTGGAGAGAGGAGAGCAAAATCGGGACAATTCTCGCTCCAATCATCACCACGATCAAACGTATCATTGTGCTGATGACAGTGATTATACATTTTTTTTTGATTTTTGTAAATTAATAATTTGCTGAATTGGATTTCATAGCCTTAGAAACTCAAGTGTTGGTCATGTGAGCATCTAAGGTTTCCCTTGTTAGAACTTGGAATTGGGCTGATATTTCACATTTTGAGGTAATGAATGGCTACGGCCATATCACGATGAATGCACCTCATCCCGTCCGATTTGAGAAGTTAAGCATCGTCGAGCCACATCAGTACTGAGGTTGGAGACAACTTGGGAACCTGTGGTGCTGTAGTCTTTTTTTCATTTCAAAATTTGTTGCAGATTAACAGTCTGACGCTCTACCGACTGAGCTAGACGGGCTACATTTGATGACCTTAATTGTCCCTAATAATAGCTTGTTGGAAGAGTTTTTCTCTATCATAGTGAACTGAGGAAACATCCATAATTTCCTTGCTCTTTTCCAAAAGGGAAGAAGCTGTTGTAGTACGGCAAATGTAAAGAAGTTTTTTACAAAGGTCCAAATCATAGATAATACATCTTTCTGGATACATCAATTTCACACATTGGACAACCATATTTTCATAAGCATCCAAATCAGAGTCTAATTTAGAAATAGATTGAATGGTGTATGAGGAGAGTCTGAGCATTAAAAGTTTGTCTTGATTACTTTGAGTTGATTCATATTCCTTCAATTTAGATTCAATTGCCGATTCAATTGATGAAATATCCTTCTTGTATTTCTTTGTTGATTCATTGAGAACTTGTTTGGCAACCTTGCAATATTCTCTGTTTACCAAAACAATATTAATGAGAACCTTCATCAACTTGGTATATTCAAGAGAGTATTCACTCTTCATCATTTTCATATTTTCGCAATGTACTTTGTACAAGTTGAAGGCAAATTCGATATCATCATATGTAATTGGCTTTTCCTAGTCGCTTTCTTGCCACATGGTATGCAATTTCTTAGCAACTTGATAAACACGTAAATCTTCTTGACGATATTTGAGGAGAGGAGTATAAGATTCAGCAGCTCCCTGTTCGACGTGGTGAAGTGCTTGACGGATTTTTGATTGTGTTCTCATATCACCTATTAGC